AGTTATGAAAAAAAAAGCTAATTTTTATCATGAAAGACCAAATTTTGAGCACTATAAAGAAGAACGCTAATATTTAGGAAGGAAATATATGTGCAAAACATTCAACCCACCTAAAAGTGCAGTGAACACGAGCACTGTAATTTCAATAAAGGTAGTATTCTGAATTACCTCACTGAGCAAACAATGAAGTCCACCTTAGCAAGTGTCACACCCACTGAATTCTTTGCCAAACTCTGCGAATTCAAATGTGGCTCTGCAAAGCTGGCGACTTTGAAATTCAGGATATTTGTAAAACTGAGGAGTCATCACCTGCAGCATGGCTGCGTCCACTGCAGGACAAAGGCCTCTCCCATGTTCCGCGATTCAACTCGGTCCTGTGCTTGCTGCTGCCACTTTATAGCCCCACACTTCCTAATCTCATCTGCCTAACTAACTTTTTGTTTTCCCCTAATGTGCTTGCCTTCTCTGGGAATACAGTCAGTTACCCTGAATGACCAGCGGTTATCCTGCCTACACGCTACCAGGGGTGAGACGGCCGAGGCTAAATTGGGAGCAGTTTTTGGAGCAGCAATATTTCAATTTTAGAGCAGGAGAATTTCGCTTCAGAGCAGTTGGCAGCATTTAATATGTCGTTTTGAGAGCTTGAAAATACAAATTGTAAGCAACGTGGGGGCGCCAGAGCATATTTATTTGTCTTTTAATACACATAAGACAAACAGATTCTGAAGGAAGTTTTTAAACGAATTATTGCCAGGTATGTACTGCACTACCTTTTTTACATACCACGTGACCTATCTAGCTCTCGTAACAAACATGCGATATAATACTTAAAAAAAGGGTTTGGTTGAAAACTGGGTTTCTCAGAAACATTTCAAAAAAATGCATTACACACAAAAATAAATTCAAAATTGTGATTGCACAAGAATCTTAGTTACGTAACAGAGGTCCTTCTCTTAAGACTTCCTATTAATATTGTCAGGGCTCTTTTCTGGCATATCACTGAATGACCAATTAACTCTGTTGGTGGTTGGAGCTCCATAAACTTAATTTGCAAAATCATTTGCAACAATGTGCCTAGTTTGCGATAATGAGTTTAGAGGTTGGATCTTTTCATTCTACCGATGCTCTGTTATACGATAACTGTTCATTGTGGCGTCCACCCACTTATTCCAACTCCATGTCATTCGAACGCATTTATAGTCCCCTTTGAGTTTGAATGAATGAGCCGTTAGTGTATTTACTGTATTTACATATTGCTTTCAATGATGAAGAAGCAAATGGCTGTGAAACCACGGTAGAGGCCTTCTTGAAGATGTTAAGCTTCTACTTGAGCAACACTTACGTATGGTTTAGAGACAAGATCTTTTTAGAAAAATTAGGTGTGTGCAAAGGGTGGAGGGTTGCTTTGAAGAAAGCAGCGTTTTCTTAAACAAGGTTTATACAGACTTGCGGATTGAGTTGCAAGCAATAAATGTATGTGGATGACCTCTTAGTGTAGCAAGCAGCACTAATCACAGATATTGCACTCTAATCGAAAGAGGCATTGGTAATAACACCTTAAGACCACTTGACCTATTTCTGCACTTTTTTCAACAATGTGTGTGCTCGATGTTTGCACCCCAGTCTAGTGAGCTGCCATCTAGAGGGCATAAAGAGCAGAATGACTCTGTCACATCAGAAGTCAGCCTTCCCTAGGTCATGTCAATATGCCCCTTCGTGAAGCTTAAGTGGACAGCCTACCTCAGGCAGCCCTGCACGTCGTCAAGTCTGGATCAAAGTGGCGGTTAATGCAGTGGTAGGAATGCCTTCCAGAATTTCAGAGCAGGAAAATTCTGCTTTTGAAGCAGCTACCTCTGTAGCATGCCCGGGCTTTCCATGACACACACAGAGGAAAAAAATTTAGCTTTAATTTACTTAAACGTTCTTTCAGTTTGCATAATCTTTTACTATACAGAAACAGCAAGCCCACAAAATAAGCACAAAAGTAGGATTCTGTACAAAAGCAGTGACATAAGATCGTGAAGCTAGGATATTGCACTAACAATAGCGGCAGCATGTAGATCATAGCAGTGAATATGCGCACACACACACACACACTCTCAAAGCTCGTTATAAAGCCTCCTTATTACGTACACACATACTGAGAACCTGCTGGAAATGCAGCTAACTATACTAAACGTAGAATGAATTAACCCCCAAGTACATAAGCGCGTGCTGGGTTCCCCTTCAGGAGGGGGTGGGGGAGAGGTTCATCGCAGTGTCTTTCTGTGATGTGATGAATTGGGCTGGCTCTGTGCTCCCCCCCCTCATCCCCTGTGTGCACACCTGTGACTACCTATTAGCATTTATTCACCTGTGCGATCACCGCTAATGAAGGAATACAGAGCCAAAGCAAACATTGCCTAAGGAACCTAACAGGAAACCATTTTTTTTTTGGCAATGTTCAGAAATGTTTGGCATTCAATGTTTTGGCATTCTTGCACGCGCGTCCGATGGCATGCAGTGGCGCATTTCGAAACTAGCGCTGAGTCCAGGATACACAGCCAATTCAGTGACTGCCATAATCGCAAAACGAACATAATCTGGCTGTCCGGAATAAATGTGCATCGCGATTTGCTACTTAGCGAAAACCGACAGTTTTTTCTTATTTATTTTTATTTTGTTGTGATTATTATTAATTTTTTTTACACGCGATGCGGTCACGGAGAACCAATTTAGTGGCTAGTTAAATCCAGCGCTTCACCTACTAGGCATACACACCGTGCAGAGCCCCTTTGGCCCATTCCCGTTTAGACCATGCACAGATGGGCCAAGAAGCACGTTGCGTTAACACAACGGTGCGAGCTTTCTGCAAACAATGCAAGGCAGTGCATGCTGAACACGGCCCCGCACGAAGAGTGAGCGGGAGTGATCAGTGCTACAGCACTGTCACGTAGTCGGCAGCTTTTAAAAGCGCGCAGTAGGCTTCAAATGGCACAGTACCACACACGTAGGCTTTTCGTCCGTGACAAATCATACTGGCGTGCTTTTCGGTAGTAGCAACATCGCCTTCATTCCTTGCAAATGGTTGCCAGAAAAGGCACCGCCGCATTCGCCCGGAAGTCAGAATAATTGAATGGCCGATTCAGTGCTTTTGCAGTGGCGCAAGTGAACAAAATGGTGACTATCATGTAATATCTGCTCACGATGCGTGCTGTCAACATTACTTTCGGTTACAAAACCACCTTGAGGCGCAGTAATGATGCGAATCAAACAAAAAAAATAAATAAAACCCTTTTGGAGCTGTATGGCGCAGTAATTTCCAGTTAGTGCAGGTTTCTTATCACTGCAGTTACTGTATTTACTTGCGCAATGAAAGCACTCACATAATAAACGCATTTCCAACTTTAGTCCTCAAAACTTAGATTTTTTTTTCCGCTTAATAAACGCGCTCCCTACATACATTCGCTCCAGTCCCGCTAACCGACACTTTGCGCCTCCTGACCTGTTGAATCTCTTCCGTAATTTAGTATTATCCCGATTCACCTTGGCCAACTCGGCTCACTCTCTCTCCACCCTTCGCCCGTTACTGCGAGTAGTAATCTGTGCACGGCACATCCTCCGTCTTTCTACCTGTGCGCCATAGCGAGGTTCACGAACGGTGCAACTGTAGAGACATGACAGCTGACAAACACACAACGAGCAAAAGTCACGAAACTGCCCGCGCCATCTGGCGGTTGCTTTCTATAAATACGAAATTTTAAGGCTCAATCACGTGCGCGCGATTTTCGAGCGAGAATGACAGGATGTGCTAGGGCAAAGGGTCATTCGACGCTATTATGTCGCAGGTTTCTGGAAAACCAGAAAATCGCTTGTCGCCCAGAAAAGATTGTGAGGACTTTTGCAACATGATAGCAGCCCCAATTCTAGCTTCATTTGTTCTCTGCACGTACTTCTCATGTGGAAGGGAGGCAGTGGCCTTATTTGTATTTTGTTGTTAATTTTGTTATAGAAGGTTTGTTTTTATGCTTCGAGGTAACTTGCTACAACGCCTACAGCATCGTCGTGGTTGTCATGCGAGGTTGCCGCAAAGTTGGCAAAGTGCATCGCAGTGCACGCTTCCGGGCGCCCCTTGAGATCACAGCAGATACCACTGTTGCGGTTAAACAATTGCGAGAAAAGATAGCGGCAAAACGCTTGTGTGGAGTGCGCAGGTGTCGTGAAGGCAGCTTGCACAAGATAGGGCCATCAACCACCCAAGATGGGTAAAGTGCAACATACACTGTTTCCAAACAGTGTATGGGTATGTCAATTGCGAAAGGCTAAGCAAGCAAACTTTTTTTGCGCTACTGCATTTTTTGCTCCTCTGGAAAAATTTTTTATAAAATTTACCCCACCTAATAAATGCACCCCCCAACTTTGCTCTGATTTTTCAAAAAAAAAAAAAGTGCGTTCATCACGCAAGTAAATACAGCGATGCCATATGTACATGCACGTCGGGTGAAGGAAAGAGCTCAATTATTTGGTATGAGGGTATTTTCTTGCGTAGGAACAAGCTAGCTAGGCTGCATTCAAAGGTCATTTGACAGCATTGTTGCAAAAAGTTGCAACCTTGACCGCCAATTTAGGTTGATACGATAACACTGTACAATGTTGTGTAGTCATGTGTATATGGCGGCCAGACTGGTGCGAATAATTAAGAAAACAGCAATCATCCTTGCTGAAAAAGACCACTAACATGCTTGGCTATGCACTGTGCTGACTGCTAACGCGAGGTGTGCTTTGCAAAAATATTTTATTCAAGCCCAGAGGCTGCATGACAGCTATTGACCTTAGGGTGCCCATCCTTGGCCATAATTGCCAAAGTAGGCTCAAAGAGAATGGCTAGGTGGGTATGCCGTGACTATGCAATGGCTGGGGTTATCTTAATGTGAGTAAGTTGGGTCCTTTTTTTGCCCCTTTCATGTTTAGAACTTTCAAGTACAGGTAAAAAGAAACTGGGTGTGTACAAAGAGACGTACCGGCTTCTTGCTCCCTGGAGGAAGACTTGGCGTCACGTGACTGCAAGATAGGGCGGCTGAAACGTTGAGAAAACTGCCGCTCTGTGCCCAGGAATCCCGGCATGAGAAAGTCAAATAGGGACCACAGGTCCAACACTTGGTTCTGGATGGGCGTGCCCGTCAGAATAAGCCGGTGGTTGGCCTGCAACTGCTTCAGGGCACGTGCCAGCTGCACAGACAAGAGTACTACAGCCAAACACAGTTATATCGAACCCACATATATCGAATTTTCGGGTATATTAAACTTGTAAGTTATCCCCTTGAAATTCCTTTGTAAAAAAAAGTAGAAATTTCCACGTTTATATCAAACGGTATTTTTATCCACCTTCGGATATATCGAACTGCGCGCGAGCTGGAAAGTGTGCTTTGGCACTCCCTCTGCCCTCCTCACGACCTATGCGGCAGCGCGGCTTCGCCTGTGAGTTGGAAGGTGCGTTTTGGCACCCGTAGCGCCCGGTGACCTCCACTGCCTCTGCGCGGCACCACGCCTCCGCCAAAACCTAAAACGCTCAAAAAAAAGGTAAGGGCAAGAGGGCTTGGACTGCACAATCTGAAAGTTGCGGTACTTTTTTTTTTTTTCAGTTGTCTTCCTCTCTTTCATGCTTTCTCCACCCACCCGTCGAGTTGGAGAGCAGCCACAAAAAAGCCGTCGTCCTTCTCCTTTTGCCTTTTTCAAATTTTTTGTTGCTGCTTTTTGCTGTTTCCCTCGCAAGTGGCCATCGCTCCGCGAGTGCTTAGTTGCTTCTGCTGTCGCGTCTCCTACATACCACCCCATGTGCAGCATTTATTTCTCTTTTGTGTGCACGGTGTGCAAAGCTGCTGCAGACTTCTTGAATTGTCGACTTCTCGTGTAGCTATGGCCAGTGTCAAGACACGCAAGACCCTTGACTTTGCGGTGAAGTTGAAGGCTATTCGGTGTGTTGAGGCGGGCGAAAAATGTTCAACCGTCGCAGATGCCTTCGGGATATCATTGAGCACTCAGAGTACCTTGTTGAAACACAAGGCAGATATCAAGGCAAAGGCGGCAGAGCAGCAAACATTGGGAGCCTTTCTCTTGTGCGCTTCTGCCCATGGGAATGTAGAAAAGGCACTCCATGCCTGGTTTCTAAAAGTGCACGCGAAGAACATTCTGGTGGATGGCCCGATGCTGATCACCAAGGCCAAATTGTCTGCCGCTGCACTCTGTGAAACAACTTCGCCAACAACAGCAGGTGGCTTCGCCGATTTAAGCAGTGCTACAATATCAGTGGCAAAAGCGATTCTGGCGAAAGCAAAGTTGTCAGCAGCCAGGACACCCAGCAGTAAATGATGAAGTGGCCGGAAATCTTCGCGAAGTTTTCTCCCGCAGAGATCTTCAATGCCTGGTGAGACTTGAAGACAGACATAGTGGTCAACTGTTTCCCGGCAGCAGTTTTACACGAAGTGTATGCGAACGACATTGTGGAAGTGGACTGCAATGTCCGGGCTGTTGCGAGCCTCGCTGTCGAGGACATAGCAGCTGCAGTCACAGGAACCCGGGATGCCTATGCCGACAGCTCATGTGACGAGGAGGATCGTCCGGAAGAGGCGCTAGCTACACACGCCTACTCCGCTGAGGTGGCAGCAGCATTCAACATCATTTACCGTTATATCAGCCACATGGAGGGAATGGGGCTATTGCACCTGGACAGCCTTGATAGAATCGAGACTAGCGTCTCCGACATTTCAAAAACGAAGAAGCAGGCCAAGATTAGCGATTTTTGCCACGAAAATAAATCATTCTGTTGCAGCGTGTGTGCGGAATTATTTGCCATTCTTGAATGCGCCTGATGCTGGTGATGATCCGCTACAGGTAAGTTTAAGGGGCCTCTACTTTTTTTGTATTGAATTTTTCACATATTTATCTGATTTGCGATCCCCTTCAAGTTCGATATATCCATGTTCGACTGTACTTGTAATTCAGAAAAATTCCTCCTCTTCAGGTCGCTTGCCTATCACAAATACAGTGAACTGAGTTGCTTGTGGGCCAACACCAATGCTTACATTATCAGGCATTCGTGTATGCTGTTTGAAGCATGAGCGATTCAGATAGAAGAAACACTGCACTGAGTACAGACAAAATCACATTATGTTCAGGGAAGTCAATTTGTAAAAAACTAAGAAAAATTGAAGTCCCAGTTAGCTTGACCACCGAAAGAAGAGTAGATGAAGGTTTATTAAAACAGTAGCAGTGAAAACAAGGGATCGGGAGTGACACATGCACACGGCACTGTGTACCTGTCGTACACAGTGATGTCTCATCTTGACACACTTTTCACGCTCAACGTGCAAACCATTCAGAATTAGGGAACCAGCGCTGGAGTTTCCACAATGCGGCGGTCAAAGCGCGCACTTCTCAGTCTGTTTCGTAGGCGAGAGTGGCGGCTGGTAGAGGCGGTGCAGGCACGCACCAAAGGGCGCTGGCAGTAGTGCTGCGTATTAAAGTGCCACAATATGTAGAAATGAGAGAGGACGCATCGCTGCAGGTTTTTCATAGCAATAAGCAAGGAGACGCACTGTATCTAAGCGCTAGGGCGAGCAAAGTATGTTAAGCTCTTGCTCTCCTGCCTAGTATAGACGAGCTGCCACGCCTGCTAGATTTAATAAATAGTGAAAACGGCCACCAGTAGAAACCAGGGCCAAACTGTCAAATTTCAACGGCGTTTTGTCGGAAACAAAACGAGCGTATTATGCAGCATACGGAATATGTAAAAAAAACGTTATCTGACCATCACAATCAAACTTCATCTGATGCCCCTGCATGAAGTGAATGATATGATAGGTGGGTAGTCTACACTGTTTGCAAACAGTTACGTAGAAGGAAAGCTGCCTTGTACACATGATTTATGCGGGGGCACGTTCGCCTAAGCCGCTGAACTGTTATAAAAGATGCTCGTGATCAATACTCGATGCTGAGATGCCTCTGTTTAACTTAATTTGTGCTAAAGACAGGGTTCTTGCTATAAATAAAGCAGCAGACTACTTGGAGCTTAGCTTTTTGGAGTCTTCCGATGCGGTAAGTTTCGTTTTCACTGGCTGCTGTGGCTAAGTAACATGGGAAATTACGCCTGACTAGAGAAGTATAAAATGTCATCGATTTTTACTGGTTTAGTTCGCCCTATGCACAATTTCAGTTTTTCAGCTTGCCTGCGTTTGCTTAAAATAAAGCTGTCTGTTCAACATCGATAATATCTAGGCTTTCATGTACTAAACAAGATATCGTTTTGAGGCACGCTGTAGTATGGGCATCAGGATTAATTGTCACAGCTCGGGGTTCTTCAATGCGCACATATACCGTATTTACTCGCGTTATGAACGCACTTTTTTTCTTGAAAAATCAGAGCGAAGTTGGAGGGTGCATTTATTAGATGGGGTAAATTTTATGAAAATTTTTTCCAGAGGAGCAAAAAATGCAGTAGCGCAAAAAAAAGTTTGCTTGCTTAGCCTTTCGCAATTGACATACCCATACACTGTTTGGAAACAGCTTTCTGTTGCACTTTACCCATCTTGGGTGGTTGATGGCACTATCCTGTGCAAGCTGCCTCCACGACACCTGCGCACTCCACACAAGCGTTTTGCCGCTATCTTTTCTCGCAATTGTTTAACCGCAACAGTGGTATCTGCTGTGATCTCAAGGGGCGCCCGGAAGCGTGCACTACGACGCACTTTGCTAACTTCGCGGCAACCTTGCATGACGACCGTGACGTCGCTGTTAACAATGTAGCAAGCATGACGAGGTCGTGGTAGCAAGTAACCAACATTGCAACAAGCTACCCTTGAATCATCAAAACAAACTGCCGATATCAAGATTAACGACAAATTACTGCCGCCGTCTCACTTCTAAATAAGAAGTGCCTCCACGTGTGAATAACCAGCAAAGTGAGAATCGGGGGTGCTACCATGTTGCGGAAATCGTCATGACCGATCTTTTCTGGGTGAGAAGCTATTTTTTTTTCTGATTTTCCAGAAACCTGCGACGTGATAGTGAAGAATGACCCTTTGCAACAGCACATCTTGTCGTCGTCGCTCTAAAATCGCGTACACGTGTTTAGGCTTTTTTTTTGGGGGGGGGAAGAGGGGGGGTGATATTTAGAAAAAGGTGAAAAGGTAAGAAAACGGGGTGTGGAGTGCACGATAACTGTCTCTCATGTGAGGACACCTTAACCGATACACTCACGGGGGAACTGGGAATGAAGGGACAGTCGGAGTGAAGAAAAAAAGTAAGCATACTAAAAAAGGAAAAAGGTGGAGTACGCAGGAAGCGGCCGACATTGGTTGGCGCAGGCAGTTTGGTGACTTTCGCTCGCTGTGTGCTTACTAGGTGCGATGTCTGTACACTCGCACCGCTCGTGAACCCCGCTGTGGCTCACAGATAAGACCGGGGACATGACGCGCAAGGATAGAAAGAAAAGCAATAGCCACGTGGCAACAGACGAAGGGAGAGAGGGAGCAAACCGAGGTGGTTGAAGGGGGTCGACTAAGTAATAAAAAACGGAAGAGATTCAACGGGTGAGGAGGCACCAGGTGTTGGTTAGCGGGACTGCAGCGAATGAATGCAGGGGGTACATTAATTATGTGGGGAAAAGAATCCAAATTTTGATGACTGAAGTTGTAAGTGCATTTATTATGCGAGTGCATTCATTACACGAGTAAATACGGTATCTTGGTTCAGAAGCGTTCTTTGTATAGGGCCCGTATTGATATATGGCAGCCGTGGTCACAAATCTATCCCGTGTCTTCCAGCATAGCAGCGTGATGCTACACATGCAGTGCTGCCCCGATGGCTTGCTTGATCAATGTCCACGTGCACACGTACCGCAGACAGAGTGTACATACCACGCCAGAAAAAAAAAAATTCATGCAGCTATTACTTCCTGTTCTTTTTTTCTTTTTTACTACTGAATTGGGCAGTGTGGTACTGTTGCAGCGTGGACTTATCCATGAGTATACATAAGCCTGCACTAGCTTAACACAAAACCCAGAACGCAACCAAAAAATGATGACAAGAAAGTCGCCATCATGACACAGCACTGTCCTTTCGATGCCAAATGCATACACGCAGTTTGCTTTGCAAAGCTTCCATTCGTTTTGTAGTGCTTTTTGTATGAAAGTAGCCTTTGAACAACTAAAGTAATATGAAACAGTCTCAGA